GCTTTCTATAACTAAGGGTATGTCTACACTGCAGTTAGACCCCTCTGGCTGGCCTGTGTCAGCTGACTCAGACTCGTGGGGCTCGGGCTAAGGAAATGTTTGATTGTGGTGTAAACATTTGGACTTGGGCTCCGGTCCCTCTCTTCTCGTGAGGTCCCAGAGCTCACTCTCCAGCCCAAGCCCAAACATCTACACCGCAGTTAAACAGCCCCATTGCCCAAGTCAGCTGACATGGGCCAGCTGTGGGTTTTTAATTGCAGTGTAGACATACCCAAAGAGTTCCAAGTTCATCTTTCCCCTGATTTCTTCCATGTGCCCTCTAAGCTCTGCTTGTTTTCCTTTCTCCTCAGTATATTGTTGTTTACTACCTATATAGCTTTTTCTTCCCTTTCCATCAGATCCACCCTTTCCAAACCGTGGGCAGGCAGAGACAAACACATGCCTTGTACACTTTTCCTTTCAGTTTGTTCCTTGATTGCTGGTCCCACAGTGCTCCTGCCACCTTTTTCACAGCTGCCCATGCATACTGGGTGGTTCTTTTCAATTCTCCAGAATTCTCTCCGTTGGCAGTAAGTGTATTTCCCAATACAAAATTCTTTCTTCTGATTCAGCTTCTCTCCTGAAACTCCTATCAACAGTTCTTTCTCCACCTTCGTTGCTTGCATAACTTCAGTTTGCTTTGCATTTACTTTCAAACACAGATGTCCACTCTGATACCATGTTTACCACTTCCTTTTTGCTATCAGCCAAAAGGGCCAGATTGTCAGCATTCATTAGCTGGATCTTAGGGTAAAGCTGAATGTAAATATGCACCCAAGAAGGGGCAGTTTTTAAACCAATTTAGCTCTACTGCATAAGGAGCAGTTGTGAAAGGTATTAGGGGGATTGTCTGGAGAGTTCCTTGAGTAATAGGTACAAGCAGCTGTTGTTTTAAATTGAACTTTAATTTACTGAGGTTTTCTTATAATAAAATTACACAATACTTAGAGCGCTGCAGTGAAAGGGTTGTGAAACTATAAGGATTCCAAACTGGGTATTGAAGGAGAGCTGAAAGAAACCTAATACTGAAAAAAAATAGTATTTGTCTCACTGAACACATTTTAAAATCTCATTTGATACAAATAGCATGTCTAGGCACTCTGATGATAACCCAATGGATTAGTGAAAAGCACTAATGCACAGAATACCTTTATTAAATAAATGTAAAAATGTTGTCCAAAACTTGAAGAGTTTGGTTAGCTTTTCACATGTTTTAGCAGTCTACTTATATAGGAATCTAGTTTAAAACTGAACTCACTTATATTTAGAAACAATGTTATAAAGCACATGTTTGTAGTTATTATTTATAGCATACAAATATAAAGTAATTGCCTAGTTATTGTAATGTTGTCCACTAGAATTAGCAGCATTTTGCAGCTTCTTTTATAAAATATTCTGTCCTTTGTAGGGACATGGCAAAAAAGAACACACACACACACACACACACACACACACACACACACACACACACACACACACACACACACACACACACACACACACACACACACACACACACCGTACGTACGACGT